TTACTATAGGCAAGTTGATATAAAATTTAAATCTAAAATTTTTCATAAAGTTTAAAAAATAAAAATACGCATTTTAAAATCTTTCACGACTACAATATATTTATTCGGATTGTACCAGTTGCGCCCTCTGTATAGTCGGGTCTCAACTATTGTGCGGTTTTTTGTGAAAATATTTGCCTTTATTTTTATCTTCGCTTTTCTGGCATTCTATTGTGCTTTATATCGAATACTGCTTTTCAGATTTCTATCGCTAAATATTTAAAATTATACCTTACTACAGAGCGTTGGTGGATCAGTGGTTAAGGTCCTCGGTTCGAATCCCGCCATGTACCAATGTATTTTTCGATTTCTAATTTACATGTTTACATAAATCCGACGTTCTTACGGTGAAGGAAAACATCGTGATACAATCTGCACAACATATATGAGAAGAAATTCAAAGACATGTGTGAAGTCATCCAGCCAGCAATAGGTTAACGTGATTGACTATGGCCTATTCACCCTTACTTAGGGTAGGCTTCGGGCCCCCCGGTGGCGACGTATAGTGAGCTGATGATACTACACTAGCTATCGTCTGTAACTCTGAATGACTGGAATTTAAAAAAGAAACCTAATTAATAGCCTTTGTGTTCTACATTGATGCTAAATTTCATCGAGGTCCATTGAGCAGTTTTGGAGATACCTTCTAAAATACATCCATCTAAACATTTATAATATTAGTAAGAAGATGTCATAATTTATGAAGAATGCTTTAATAACAAAAAATATATATCATGAAGTTTAATAAAAAAAAGAAACATAAGTTAAATATTTAAAAAAAAACATTCCGTAGAAATATTTATACAACAGACGAAATATTCATAAATATTCAATGATGCAATTAAGTCGAAACGAAAGTTGGTATTTACGTATTAATATTGGAAATTCCTCAAATTATAATGAAGGAAAACGTTAATATTCTATTAAAAGGACGATATCATTAACTATATCAACAAGATTTGTCATTAGATATTTGAAATATTAAATCTGCGCATTATTAATGATTTGAAAATCTATTAGACTTGCGTCAATCAGGATAAAGATCGCACACACAACTATGAAAGCGATATTGCAGCAAAACGGAGTTAAATATGAAACTACTAACTGTCGCCTGCGACACCGTCCGCGCGGAATTAAAAAAAAACCATTATAAACAGCCTGTGTGTTCTTCAAGACTATGTTCTACATGTGTACCAAATTTCATCGAAATCCGTTCAGCCGTTCCGGAGATATCTTCAAACAAATATCCATCTAAACATTCGCATTTATAATATTAGTATGATGTCCCAGCAAAGTTTCACAAAGCTTAGCGACTTGGAAATTCCAATAGATTTCTGCGTATTTATTAGCTACTCCAATTTTACAATATTTAAAAAAAAAGTGAAATTTCGTAATAACCAAGTATTAAATTAGTATGTTTAATTTCGACGTTGAACGAAACAAGGTGTAATAAAATGAACCATGCAAAAAATCAAATATCTAACAAAAGCGTTTTGTTTATAGCTCATGCTTATTTCTTTGTGTTCATCGCTTTCGTATGTTCGTGTGATCGAGGCGATAGTATGACGAGTAGAACGATTTGTTTCCGTCGAAACGCCGCGACTAACAATAGCCGGTTGTCACCGCAACCAATTATCCGGTAACAATCACCAATTAAATTGAACTCATTCGAAATTGGATTCCGTCGACAATCGAAGACGGGATAGTCTATTGTCTTTTATTAATTTATCCGACTTTGATTTTAGCTTGACCGAGTAGTTTGACCAGGGGGGCTAGACAAAGTACGTTTCCATAACGATATTCAAAAATGTATAGAACTGACAATTCGTTTCGATAAGTCACGTGAATGATTTTTGAAGTTCGTAATGGAATCTCATCATAGCGAATGCACATTGTCTAGCTCTCCATTTAGCGGCTAATATTATTAGTTTTCTATAGAAGTTGGTTTTTAAGATAAAAACTCTCTAAACGCTGTATGAAACCCTATGACACCTCGTTGATGTGTACGATTATTGAATGACATTTTAAAAGCGAAAATAGGTTCAGGCAATAAGGTTCTAGTAGGTCACAACTTGCGTACTTAAGCGAATTACTCAATCAGACAAAAAAGGTTAAGTTCAGCAAAAAGTTTTGTCTTTACTCAATTTAAAAAACAAATTACATACTAATTTGGTTGTTTTACAATATTTCATTTTTATCAACAAAATAAATTACAAACTTCTTGTTTTTTGGAAACAAATGCAAGAAAAAAAAAACATTATATTGTTCATTCAATTTGTATACGAAATGTTGTCAAGAAAACATTTCCATCAGTAAAACCAACTTTATTTCGTACATAAAGGCAGCGACACACGCTAGTGTATTCCAGCTTGACTATGGGATACAAAACGGCCAATTGAATTCGATTTTATTATAGAAAAAAAAGGTTCCTTTCGGAATAACGGACGCTCGGCTATCGGATAGTGTTGATTCAGACGCATAAACTTGTATTGTCGTCCTAGTATACATTATTATGTAAATTCGAACCGACAAATCAATACGCCAAACAAACTGTGAACTTTGGTTAACATATTATTTTTATCACTGTAACCAGATATAAAGATTCTAAATATTTAATTTACTCAAATAATATCCCGATCGACTCAAAAGGATACATCCTGTAACATAAAATCAATTTTAACATTAACAAAATTTTAGGCATAGATGCAGAGCAGAAGAACACATAGACTATTAATTAAGATTTTATAATTCCGCACGGACGGAGTCACTGGCGACTTCTAGTTAAAAATACAAGATAAACTTTCAAATGAATAGTAAAAACATAAATTGAATTAAAATAAATCAAATTATATTGAGCGAGGTCGCTAGTTAGTGTAGTCGTAGACAGTGCTATGTTTATCTTGGGGCGCATCGTTTGCACATTCCCCAAACACGAAGTCTGAAAGATCGAAGTACAAAGTTTATTTTATACTTGACCTAGTTGCGATCTCTAAACATTTGTAGGGCAGTGTCAATGTTTGATATTCTACATCTGGATTAGTTTATAGAAACACCATTTGTGCTACAAAAACACTTTCTAGTATTGAAAATACAAACAAAATCCATTTTCGCTTGCGTTGTTTTAGAAAGCAAAGCTAAAATGGAAAACAAAGTCATTTAGTTCTCTTCTTTCCGACTATTTGGGTCAGCAAATACAGATATGTCTCACTGGCAAATTGATAAAGCCGCCTGTTTGTAATTTGCCTAGACACATTGTAAAGATTAAAGTGAATTCATTCGATATTAAATTTGTAATCTTCTTTTTATAATAAGCTTGAAATAGTTTCAAAAGTTTTACGCAGCCAATATTTTACTATCGAAATTTAATTAGATAATTAAGCTATTTTGAATATTTTCGATACAAAATCATCAATTACGCATGTTTCCTAAATAACATGGAAGCTGCCAAGCGTAGTATTGGATTCCAGCAAGTGTAACTAAGTTCGCAACAAATTAAATTTTCTCTTTGGCAGTTCAGATTTATTGTTGTTGAAATCAACGTTAAAACTTTTTCGTTGTATCGAATTCCGTTTGATGTAAGCTAACGCCTTTTTTTTTGCGTTCAAATATTTTTACAACTTGATGAAATTGTCGCAGAATAATTCTTAAATTCTTTGAAGATGTAATAACCTTTTATATTATTCGTTTGACTAGCATAGTTACAGTCTAGACATGATGACTGTAACTTTGATCTGTGAATTCATTGCAAAGCGAAGACGAATTTATAAAATTAATTTTCACATTTTCCTAAACTTTTATTCCAACACGAATACAACCAAATTTATTGTCGACAAATCAGTATTAAATCTTTGTTACATTATAAACTAGCAGTCACCCGCAACTCCGTCTGCGCGTAATTAAAAACATACATAGTTAGTAGCCTATGTGTTCTTACAGACTATGTGTATGCCAAATTTCATCGAGATCCATGCAGCCGTTCTAAAGATACCTTCAAACATCCATCCGTACATCTAAACATTCGCATTTATAATATTAGTAAGAAGATGTGTAAGTTTGAATGTTTGTCGGAAGGTATCTCGAGAACGGCTCAACGGATCTCGATGAAAGTCTTAAATGTGGAACTAAACTTAGTTATGAAGAACACATATTCTTCTAATTAAGTTTTTATAAATCTGCGCAGACGGAGTTGCGGGGAAAAGCACTATTAAATAATTATTTTTTTAAATACATTGTAAAGTTCTAAACCATTTAAATTTTCTTGGATTTGTGTATCAAAATATGTTCAACCTCGGACGTTTAATTTACTATTTGTACTATAATTTTAGAAACAGATCAAGGTTATATAATCTGTTTCTTTAATATAAATAAAATTGGAACACTTTCGGTTTAAAGCCTCAATAAACTTTTCACGTCGCACGTAACATCTGGAAACGATAACACTATACGACTTATTTATTAGAGTTAAAAATGTTCTTAAATAAAAAAACAAGATTTTTTTATTGTTTTTAATATAAAAATCAGGGAAAATTAAAAAAAAAAGATTATTGTACTTAGGACACCTTTAGGACACAACCTTCATATATCTGCGAAGAAATTCAATATGTGTGAAGTCAACCCGCACTGAGGCACCATAGCTGACTGTGACCTAGTCACCCCTAACTTAGTGTAGGCTCCGAGCCCCTCAGTGGGGAAGTATAGTGAGCTGATAATGCCGACTTATAAGATTTATTTCATTTATTAGTAAAATGTATTAATTTTAATAAAAGACAAGAATGAGACATAAAACAAAAACAAATGTTATAATATTTCTGAAACACGTACTTTCATTTAAATGTTTTCCTTCCCTGTACACGTAGTTAATGGTTTGTAAAAATGTTTATTACCAATTTCGTTGGCGCTTAAAATTTTAATAGTCCATTTCAATGCTTTAAAGTACAACTCATTCGTTTATAGTTAAACTCAGAAGTAATAACTTTAAAATGCTTAAAACTCTGCATAAAATCACTAAAAGTTGTCGGCCTAATTTTAATCCTCTTTCCTTTTCGACGCTTTTATTATAAGGTAAGGAAGTGGATTTGACGGAGGAATGGACGCCGGTAGTTGAAATATACCGTTTCTGAGTCGTCCTCCGGCGATTAAAGGTAAGCTACGCATATGCAATTGCGAATGTCTATGGCGTCACTTCGCAAATTCGGCAAATTAAAACGCATTCGGGAATTTAAGTTATACAGTTTCTACGTCAGTAAAAACGCAGTTACAAATGCGGATATAGTTTAAGTAAAGAGAAATATTCACATTAAATAATTATCAATGCAAGTCGGAATAAATTACGATAATCTGAGAAAAAATAACACAAACAATCAAACAATAGAATATCGTCATGGACCAAACATCATGAGGAATGTATATGTAAATTTGAAACACTGTGATTACTTTTACGAGCATTAAGAAAATGCTATTAACAAACCAAAGCTAATCATTGATAACGTGAACGTTGGAGAGAGTAGACGTATGTATAATGTTTCCAAGAATTGTACACTTAATAGTAATATTAATGTTAATAAAACTAGTAATTAATATTGGTGAGAAAGCTTTTAAAGCATGTAAAGATTACGGACAGACGATGCTTGAATGCCACAATGTGTTATTCCCAACTTCAAGGGTCAGAGTACCAATTGACTTACTTTTATACCCACATATGGTATTAATAGGTTTTTCAAAGAACGAAGAAGATCAACCGGCTTGGAAATGTGGTGGCAGCTTAATAAGTGAAGACTGGGTGCTAACAGCAGCTCATTGTATAGAAGACCCAATGTACGGTACTCCAAGTGTATTAAGAATAGGTACAGCAACGTTTGAATTTGACGAAGTAGACGAGTTAGCACAAGAGAGAAATATATCAGAAATTATTCCACATCCCAAATACAAGCCACCGTCGAAATATCATGACATTGCATTGATGAAAAGTAAACCTGCTTTCATACTTAATCGTGATATAAAAATTGCTTGCTTACATTTAAACGATAATATTCCAACAGCGAATCTAACAGCCATTGGATTTGGAACTACCGTATCTGGGATAGCAACTGGAAGTCAGACATTGATGAAAGTTGACGTTGATATAATTAATAACACGGTATGTAACAAATCAATGAGATATTTGATAAGAAGAAAGATATTAGCTCGTGGGATAACTGAAGAACAACTTTGTGCAGGTGATTATGAAAATGGGGGAAGAGATACATGTCAGGGTGATTCTGGAGGTCCATTACAGATTATGATTGATAGAGTTGATTGCATTAAATCTTTTCCTTTACATACTGTAGTGGGTGTTACATCTTTCGGCAGGGATTGCGGGAGAAGAATGGCACCAGGTGTTTATACCAGAGTTTCAAGATACATAGACTGGATTGAAAGTATAGTGTGGCCAACATAAAATGCTATTTTTTGTAATGACTTTATTCAGGTGTGAATTGGAGTGCTTTAATAGTAAATATTGTTTTCAAGTAAAATAGTTTGAACAATTTTAAAAGTTTCCTTATGATGAGAATTATAGTAAGTTTCATACGATTTAATAGAATTAGGATTAGAAACCTTTAACTTCTGGATATAGTGAAAGTTGAAGGAAAAAATCATTAACACAAGTAACATGGAAAAATAAAGAAAAACAATCACAAACCTCAACATTTTTGGTACATGCTTTAGTTAGAGTTATCTACATTTTTCTCGCTGCGATTTTTCCGCAAAAAATTTTACAAACACATAATTTTACTCACCCTTTACAGCGAACATCGCATTTAACTTATAAAATATGCAGAGGTAAAAGCAAAACACCGTACCTGAAACAAAAGGCAAGGATACATGAGTACACAGTAAATTGTCAGTCGGAAAATATTACCAACATATACAGTATGTTTTTAAATCCTCAAATTATATTACGCTTTTTTATTCTGTTGCATCGTTTGAAAAGGTTAGAAAAATATTACATGAATATTGCTAGAAATCATCAAGCTTTGTTTCAATTGGGTGGTAAGTAGCAAAGAAAATTTAATCCGAAAAATGTTTATAACCAACCATCAATATAGCATCAAACTATATTGCTGTCTCAGTTTTCGCAATGGGAATGAGAGAGTTAGCAATATGTTTCAAACTGGTATTTTGTAAATTGGAAATCCATAGTGATAGTGTCTCTTTGTCAAGAGTATAGAAATAAATTAGAAGCATCTTTGAGACTTTTCATAAATATATAAGAGATTTATATATAAGATTTATATAATGTTAATTAAATAAATTTCCCAAAATGCAGTGTTTTTTATCTTAAAAAATATCCATTAAAAATAAATAAGAATTATAAAGAAACATTTCAAAAAGGTACCCAGTTATTCATTGAAAACTGAATCTTTTATTTTAAACAGAAATAAATGCTCATCGAATAAATATTCCAAGGATTAGTTTATACTTTTTAATGGTTTACTGAAAACATTTTTAGGTCTTAAATAAGTTCATTTATTTATCTTTAACCAGTTAGGAGAATTTAAACAAATAATAAAATAGCATTAAATACTTTTAACCCTTTAAAAATTCAATTTACATCATTCAATTTTAAACAAGATTGGAATTTTAACAGTGGCAGAGGCCGCTTTAACATCTTCGCACGAATCGGCCCGGCTCGCCCGGTGAAATATCATGACCACACAGAAGACAGTGAAGTGGAAGCAATTCCGCGTTTCGTCTGATGAGTGTGCGTCCCGGAGGCCTAATTTAGTCCTCTTTCCCTTCCCACACTTTTTCTTAGAAGGAAAGGATGGGAAGTGGAAGTGGACTTTCCGGATGAGAGGATGCATGGGAAGGGAAAATATTTTCTTTCTGTGCATCCTCTCCTCCGTCGATTAAAGGTAGGCAACACATATGCGATTGCGTATGTCTATGGGCAACGGTCACTTCGTCTCGGTCGTCGGTTCGTTTCGGTCACTAACTTTCGTCATAAATTATAAAAAAAGCACAGACATATTTTATCATTTAAAAGAAAATCTGACCAAAAATTTCTAATTTCAAATAACTTAAGAAAAAATAATTAAAACGTCTTATGGACGAATCTTAATCTAAGTTTGTCAGTAAACATGATTATAAGTTAAAAAAAAGAAGTAAATTAATTTGCATAATACACAGGGATCGGGCAATTGAAGTTTGGATTAACTTTAAAAGTCGTCTTATTACACAAAAACACAATTTACAACTTACACGCAGAATTGTGTAATGTCCATTTAAACTTTCGCAGACAAACTTTCCGCGAGACGAATTATTTGGTTTAAATCGATATGTGTTCACACTGAGAGACTCGATCGTTTCAATCGAACAATAAACATGTTTTGATGTTATATGATAATTTAAACTAAAAAAAATGACAGTAAACTTCAGTCTTTGTAGCTAAAAATAGATTCTACTTCGTAATATTAATTATATGTAGGGTAGCATCATTTTAAAAGTCACTTTTGCCTTTACCAATTTGAATACACGATCTTGACAGTTACACTACGATGTTACTATTATACATATCAGAGTAATTTTACGTTTAAAATATAACATAAACTAATTTATATAAAGGTTTATTACTAGAACGTGACAACCAAGTCTGTACGAGCACGCATCTCAACTCGGCTAATAACCCACCCGGGGTTCGGAGACATTTTTGAGGCAATTTTTTTGTAATTGCCAATCTGCCTCGAGCGATATCTTCTGAGTTATCGAGATTTTAAATGAAGCGCTTGTGAATTTAGAGAATTCAATTATTTTCATACGACGCCCGAAGCGTTATAGCAAACTGGGAATCGCGATTCAATTAAAGAAAAACATATGAAAAAATAACCTTTTTACTAAGCCCTATTTTATCTAACCCCAAAGTCGGTAGAAATATTTATAACATTATGCTTATTAATTTATACAACAAACCTACTACAGGCTATATCAGTAATTTAGATTGTATTTGCACTGCCATAAATCCGAACAATAATAAAGACGACTAAATATGTAAGGATGGAAGAGCGTTAGGATTAAGATGAATTTTGGAATATTATGTTATATAATAAAAAGATAAAATGAAAATAATAAATAGAATTATTAGAAATAAGGAGAAAAGCACGCACTGTTACAAGAATATATTTACAACTGATACTTATAAATATAGAGAAAAAGGAAGAAAAAACATATAAAGTTCTTTATTAAAAAATATAATAATTATGAATAAAAACGTGTAAAAAGTTCCGTATCTGTCGGCAACAAATAACCTATTGTTTTCTCAGTCCTTTTCAAAGATACTAAGCGAGATAATTGTATATTTTATAATTATTTTCAGTAGTGAAAACCTACGCTTATAAATCTATAACTCTATAACTATTTCCCTGTCCTTTTGCCCTTTATCCTACGAAGACACAGTATGTACTACTCCTCCATATATCTCTATCATCCGTCATATCTGAATTCATTATCACGCATATTGTTGCAGACAAACCATCCATACTTTCTTCAATCTTCCTTTACCTTTCCAGCCATGATTTCATTCGGTCATGAAGTGGTAAAACTCAAATCTTGAATGGTAAAAATTCTTCATTATTTACTTTGTAACATGGAATAATTTAGCGGGTTTCTCGCGAGGATGCCTTAGAGACGGCTCGGATTTTTCAGCGAAGCCGCGGGCTTGCGGTTAGCGAATTCCTTTGCAAAGTTTTTTGTGTACAATAAGCCTTTTCAAGGGGTAATTTATTTCGAACCAAATTTTATAAAATAAAAAGATTCATTATTAAAATAAATATAATTTTTGCTTTAGTTGTTAAATACAATGAGAATACAGAAGACATATAAATCTATTTATAACATTGTTGTTTTAAAATATTACATTTTTTCTTAATAAAAAAGCAAACAAACTCCTAATTTTACGTGAAGGAATATAAAGAGGAGAAAGTATAAAGAAGAGCCTTTAAAGAATCACTCCGCATACAAAAAAAGTCAAAAAAATACTAAAATTCTTTATTAGTATTTTACAGTTTAATAGATGAAAAATCGTAAAATGATGTCATTTTATCATTCATAAAATACTATCATAAAATTATTGTAAAATTCAACCATAAAAATAAAGTAATAATAAAATCGTAGAATGTCAGGTGTTTCAAGTTACAATCAATAAAAAAGTTTTGACGATGACATGCTTTTTGAAGAATCATAAGACCAAATAATTTTCAAGATTAAAAAAAAACATGTTGAGAAAAAAATACTATAAAAATAAGACGGCGATATAAAAAGATGGCTCATTTATTCCATGTATTTTGCAATATCCTAATATTATATTAGGTGCGCAACTAAGTTCTCGCTTTTTTTTCGATAAAAATATAACTTTATTATTAAAAAATGGTTACAAATGAATCATTCAAAGTATTGCCCATCGCTAGACACAGCCTTTTCCCATCTTTCTGGTAGAGCTCGAATACCTTGACGCCAGAAGTGTTCGTCTTTTGAGGCTATCCACGAATCAAGCCATTTTTTGATGATTTCATATGAGTGGAACTGTTGATCAGCCAGGCCATGACCCATCGAACGGAACAAGTAAAAAAATATAATATTAATACCTAATCTATTACACAAATATGAATATATTTAATAAGCGTAGTCTAATATTGTACAAACATTGCCTGCAGCTAAATAATGAGGAAAAAACATCAACGGAAAATTGGCATATGTCGATCATTACTTTCCGAACAACGGAATGTACAAAGATTTTTTTTATTATAATAGTCAAATACGTCATTAAAGAAAAGAAAAACGAATAAACAATTATAAATTGGCAGCTATAGTAACTACGTAATAGATTTTATTGAGAAAATTTAATTTCTTTTAACCTCTCTACACTTCATACACAGTTAGCCTTGTCTTAGCATATTTGGTAAAGTCATAAAACATAAACATATCTGATAAATACGATTTTAAATAATTAAAACCCTTAGTACACAAAGCAACGTAAATCTTTAAAACTAAGACTACGTCCTTGCGACCCCAGTATCGAGTAGCGCTTTCTGTACATACGACGACGAATCGTCAACGCGAATTTTTTGCAGTCAGTACGGGCACAGCGACGACAGATAGAAACGAAAAAGCGTAAGTCTACCGACTAAAATCACCAAAGCGGTTGGATAAAATGCATTCGCTTCGAAAGCATTCCATAGCGAACTTTAGAAATGTATCTCACGCGTGACAATTACTTGACTTATCGTTATGGAATCGCTTTGGAGCGAATTCACTTTGTCTAACCCCTCCAGGTTTCGTAAATTTACATCGTCAGTAAGATGTGGCAAATTCTAAAAATAAAAAATCACAAATTTCCAAAATATATTAACGAAAATTTAAAATATCTACGAAACCTTTTAAACTGATAGAAAATTGTTTTAATTTTAATAGAATTTAATATAAAAGCACTTTAGCGCG